TATACGCGCTAAATTGCTGAAAGCCATCTCCTTACATTTAAGGAAAACATAAAAATAAGATACTATTAGCAATAGGCAAAATTTTCTGATATTTTGGTTAACTAACTTATCAAAGTTAAAATAATTTATGCATGGCCCATCTCAAAATTTGATTGCCAGCCAACGCATTTATCGATTGAGTGGTAAAGTACCTTTCGGTACTACGATAATGCAGTTCTAAATAAATCAGAATCTTCTTTTTTTTGTAAAGGTAAAAATATTACTACAGAATGATAGATTTCATATACTATAATCGCCTATTTTTCATTTTCGTGATCTTCCAGCTTTATATAAGAAAAATCAATGAGTGCCACAAGAGTTCGCACTCTGGCTGCTAACTAATTGTGAATGAGCTAATCATGCAAGATTAATAATTTAATTTTGTAGTACCAAAAACCATTAGCGGACCCAGAATTTAATTTTGGGGGAGGGGAGCTTCAGTCCGAAATATTATTTTTCATAAAAATAACGATAATTATTTTGGAAAAAAAGAAAGAAACTATCTATATGAAATGGTGTTTAAGTGATTCCTAAAGTTCTTTTAAATGTAATTACACGAACAATAATACTTTAAGAGATAATTTTTTAGTATTTTTTTCCATAAAACATGGTTATATTTTACCATTTTGGGGGGGGAGGGAGCTTCAGCCCCAAACCCCCACCCCCTCCCGTAGATCCGCCCGTGTCTAGAACGCAGTTACTCCTTTCTGTAGGATAAAGTTAGTAATGTCCTGGATCAAGTGAATAGTAGTTCGTCTACGGAAGATTGTTATACTGATATATGTTTTTCTATGTAATAATCGAACTAAATCAAAAATTATCTGAGATTCGCACTTTCTCAATATCTTGGCAGTATTATGTGTAATATAATCGAATAAATATATTGAGAAAGAGAAATCCAATTGCAATGCGCTAGTCAGAAGCTGCGGTGGCAAAGTATGACAGTAGTGTTGAAGTGCACTCCATACAGTTGTCCATCGACGGAGGTTAGTTCTAATTCTGCTGGAGGCCTCATCCGGCAAATGGGCCAATTGGTAACCCCAAAAAAATCATACGTATGCTAATCTATATTACCTTCTCCATCATCTCAAAATTCTTTATTGTTCTAATGAATTTGAAAAGAGATGGCTATTTGATGTAGGAAGCTTTATATTCTAAGATTTCATCGATGCCCAGAAACCCATATCTACTATATATATAGTTATACAGAGTATAGGAGTTTCTAGTGCTTGAATGCACAAATGACAGTGTTCATCGTCAACTATCTCGCAAATCACTACATGATTTTTACGTGTTCAGTGGTCTGTTAAATCCTCCAATATAATGAATCGGATTTCATTTCGGTTTAGCCCTAGCAATCTTTTAGAGTCTACGTAGAAGAGGAAGCATGTTTAATTAATTGTTTGGATTGTATAAAAAAAAAATAAAAAAAACTATTGCTACAACCCATGAAGGGTCTAGGGTGCAGTACTACGTGAGGAAGTACTGTTACAAGGCAAATGGTTGTGCAGGGAGGTGATGTGTCAATATCACGCTCAACCGCCAGTTTTTCTCGCTTAATTATTTTTTAAATTAAGGGTACCCACTTTATAGAGGCTGGATATGCCCCAGGAGGGTCTTCTGATCCTAGGGTTGATCCACAGCTAATGAAAAATTACTAGTCATTAGCTGGATTCGAACCTAGGACCTTGAGCTCTGGAAAAGTCAGTGCTCACCCACTGAGCTACCCCGCTCCCTTGGATTGTCTAAGCCTGATAAAATCCCTCTATCCATTACCTACTCTTTTCCATGTCCAATCCAGTTTCTCTTTACGATGATGTTTCTTTGATCAGCACTTACTCCTACCATCATGCTTTGCTAGGACAAATTACGGACTATCTTTTACAATTTGGAGAGTTTATTGAACAATGTGAAGTGGGAATTATAAGAGATTCATCCGTTTGTTACAATCAAATACGAGGTATATCCACCAGGAGTATCATTCTTTGCCATGACAACGCGATCTCACACCACAATACTGAACAGGAATAAATAGGAAGAAATTATATGAGAAACCCTCCTTACAGTTATGACTTATCCCTGTTTTCTTCACACCTTAGAAAAAGATCACGAAGGTTTAGTATTTGAAAGCAATGAAGAAACAGAGGTGCACTTAAGGAATTGGGCGGATAACTCGATCTTGAATATTCTGAACTGAAAACCAGGTATATCCAAGCTTCCAGATTTGAGACAATTGTTTCTAGATTACATAGGAGACTAGATTAGAAATTATAAAAGTATAGTAGGTGTAAAACATCAAAAAATAAATCTGTGCCCCAGAGATAAAGGACACCAAGTCCATTTGTATATTAAATAGTTTAGTACCTAAGAAAGAATTTTTAATAGCTCAAAGTTATGTAACATTGGCTATCTAGAACAAATACAAAAATGGACATAATGTTATTTACCTCTGGGGTACAGAAATGTATTAACAATAAATACCATTTATATTTTATTTATCCTTCTGACCAGATTTTTCTCAATAGTGTCAAATTTTAATAACATTAATTCAGAGGCGGGGTGGCCGAGCGGGCTAATGCCTATGTACAGCATTGCGCCTTGCTGGGCAAACACGAACCAAAGGTAATTTGAAACAATAATTAAGAATTCGCATCATAGTGCCCAGGAGGGCTTTTAACTCCGATATCCCTCCCACATCACATTCCATGCTCCATAGATAGACCTGTGAATCACACTTTATGACATGATACCCTTATGTTTCTTTCAACTTATTCCATTTTTCCCTTCAGAACGAACTTAAAAATCCCTTACACCCAAATATATACAAAATAATATCTATATTATATGTAACCACTAATTTTATGTCTATTTTACTTATATTATTAAAAAAGGTTGATTAAATTGTACTGAGATTGGAATTTGATTAATAATAATTGTTTCCCTTTTTTCCCCTACCAAGAAAATTCCATCCTTTGGGATTTCCATAGAAAGGTAACTCCTTTAACAAAGTGGGAACCCTGCCTCAAAACAATTCTTTGCAGTCCATGAAGTAATATCCTTTCTTTAATTAAATGTGAGCTAAGTTCAATATTCAGCAGACCTAATAACTCTACCAATATATTATTTATAATTTATATTAGTAATATATAATAATATAATACATCCCTCTACGGATTCCTATCAAAAACAGTTAAAAGAAATGTCCTTTCTCACGATATTTGGACTCCACTTTTCATTTATTTTAACAATCCTAAGAATTAATGTAAGCAAATAAAAGTTCACTTATAACATTATATAAAAAAAAAAAAATTTCATAAATGTTTGCTGTGGGTATCAATGATACTTCAATATAAATCGACTCCATTATCTTGTTTCAGTTGAACGATGCCATAGAAAAGTAACAGTTTATTCCCATGAGTGAATAGTTCTAATCTGATTCCAGATGAGAGTATTTTTTTTTTACCACTAGTTCAATAAATTAAAAAAAAAAATTAATTGCAGATAAAGTACGAGCTCATGAAAATAAATTTTCAAAAATTGAAAAAAAGTCATAAAAGCATTTAAAAAATAGAGATCAACATTAGTCAATAAAATTTAACAAAACTTATATCTATTAAAGTTTACCTATAGGTAGGAGAGACTGGGTACGGTTGTGAGTCGTCATATTAGCAAAACTATAAGGAATAGCCGATAGGTTTATATATAGCGAAGAAAATTGTTCTGACTGTCTGAACATATTTAATAGTATTGCCAATGCACGATGCGACATTAAGGCTGGTAGTGGCCTTCATTACTTTTTAACAGACAAATGTAACTATTTTTATTCTATTTCTTTAAATAATTGTTGTTATTTATGTACAGATAGAGTAATGAATGTTTTTCTTCATTATATATTAAACAGTAGTTGTTAATTAGCAGTGATTAACGTACATAGATAATTTTATATTGCCATGGTGACAGTTTTTTTGTGAAGAAGTGCGGGTATGGTTGTGACATATTTTCTCAGTAAAGTTGTGACACAAGTACATTTTTTTTTGTTTTAGATACCCAGAAAACACATGAGAGAGACCGAAAGTTGCTTCTTACACAAATGTTTATACCTTAACAGTTATAAGCGATTAAATTGTTCTATAATGTTATATAATAAGCGATTAAATTGTTCTATAATGTTATATAATACAATAACAGTTATTCTAGACTATTTTGAAACGGTCACAACCGTCCTTGGGGTAAGTCAGTTGTGAGATTTTCTTTTTTTTTTCTTCTAATTTGCTCCTATGAGATAACACCATTGTACTTATGGAAAATTTTTAGTATTTAGTGTATGTAGTCAAGTGTACCCTTTAGAATTTTTTATTTTTTTTTCATTTACAACCTTCCTTGCCTTATAAAAAAACAACTTTCTTTTATCTACTTGGTATACTAACAAAATTGAGAACAATTAAATGAAAATTGTAACAACCGTACAGTCTCCCTATATATAATTTTATTTTATTTTCTGATTTGGGAATATAGAACAAATGGGTGCAATAAAATGTGTATTTATAAAACCAAATCAATTGATTCATCCAAATATAAAAAAATGTATAAAACCTTTTTTTTTAACAAAAAATATAAACATACAAAATAATCAACAAGATAATTATCTTAAAATTAATAAAAAAATATCTCTATATCTAATAGATTCATGAGAATTTGGCTGAGGTAAAATGAGTTTAATAATCAAGTTACCAAATTATTTTTAAAGATTCTACATTACACACCTTCAAAGTTAAAAAAAAATTATAAATAACTTGTTTTTTCATTATTATGTCAATAATTTGATTAATTATAACACAATTTATATAAGATAATTACTATAACAGCCAACTTGCATTAAATCTATATTTCCAAACAACTAATACTAATATATAATTTAAACAGTCACTAGTTTTTATTATTAATTAAATTTTACACAACACCAAAAACATACATTAAATTGTAACCATTGAACAACCTTAACATTAATACTAGGAAACAATTCACAAAGTGAATAATTCGAAATATAGATTATAATATAAATGTAATAAAGTTGCAAACAGAATCACAATTAATTAATAAGGATCATAGGTTGTAAAAGAATCAATCAAAATGAATTAAAAAAAAACATTAAGTTTATAATACAAGTTTAAGTTTAAGTAATCATAACTCAATGTTTTTTTTTAAGTCACATTGACTGATTGTCTGACAATCAGTAATCTTGTTATAGCACTAAACAGTCAACAATCTATCATATCGAGTTAATAAATACCAAAAATAATTTTTTCATCATACCATATCAAGAGTGGTAATCCTCAGAAGACAATATTGATAAAATGGCACGATGTTGAAATGTTGCCAAGGACAATAAAAATTTCTTAATACCAGAACCCATAAGGATGTAAGATAAATGGTGGAAGGCGAAAATCTTTAAGTCGTTGGATTTTTTTGGCCTGGTATACATAATGATTTTTCCAAGTCTCATTAGGAGATTTATTTAGACATCTATATTCATTTAAAGAAAATTTCTTCCAAAGAGTTTCGTCTTCGGAAAAAATTTCGTACAAAAATTTACATGACATTACAAATTTAATAAACGATTTACCACCCAAGTTTCGGCAAATCAATTGTAAAACATGTAAAGGTAATGACAAAATATGGTGTGGATGATGATACACTTCAGTGCCACTTGTACCCTTAAATGAACATAAAATATTTTTTACATATGAAATAAAATGGACTCTTTCATCAGCAATAAGTGGTCCCTTGTTTGGCTCAAAAGAAATTAAATTATCTGGATTTATTGAAATAGTTTGAAGATTTTTATTATTGGGACAAAAAAAATTCACAACCAACATATGGTTTTTATAAAAATGACTTGTTATTATTGAGTATGTTACCACTGTCAATATATTAGGATACATAAGCTCATGTGAAAAATGAGTAACATATTGCTTATTTTCCATCTTCAAATGCTTCAATAAAATATTAGGATCCTTCAAACAGCGCATTGTACGAACATCATAACTGAGCGTAGAATTATGAGGTCCGTCCAGAAAATAAAAGCCTGCTTCGTACATAATTATGTAGAGGACAGCGAGAAATCCGTGTTCCAAGGCGGTAGGAGAGTCAGCGATGGATGAAAATATGTTGAGAAGCCATGGTGTGTCCCCGTCAGCAAGGAACAGAGCACCTGTAAGACATATTATCTTACAAATACAAATTTTATAGACATGAAAAAAAGTTACATCTAGACAAATAATATCAGAGTAAAAAACAAGAAAGTTACTTTTTTCTTTTTTTCTATTTTAATATTATTGACCATTAGGTTAAAAGAAATTGTAGTAAGTACTTATCAGAAAATTGAGCAGTGAATTAAAGAAATATAAAATTCATCAATTATGCTTAAAACAAAACATTTAGACTGATCAAAATGTACAAATAATGATCAATACAATTATTTCGTATTACTATTTATTTCAGAAATTCAGTGACAAATATCAGATAATGTGTGTGTGTTCAATACCAGAAATAATAAATATAAATACACATAAAGCCAGAAAAAATAAATTATGAAAAAAATAATAAATGGTTGAATGGCTTAATAAAATAATAATCTAAAATAAACATGTTTTTATAGGATCATTCCAGGACCTAAAACTAAATCATTATGTTGATAGTATAAATATTTTAAGCATTTCATGCTTATTTCATTAACTGACAGACTCATTAATTAAATATTTCATGCTAAGCCTCTTTATCATCAAAATAATATTACAAAAGCCTTTAAAAAGTGCTCAAGATTTCAAACTTATAATAGTAACAATGTATATTTTCATTCCATGTCATGCTACATTAAAATTCAAAGCCACATGCAATACATTTATTTTACAATAAAGGCATAAGATATAGTAAAATTTAAAAAATTTACCATTTTTTTAAAAAATGGATATCAGTTTTAAACTTGGATAAATTACAAAACATAGCATGCAAAATGACTATATTTTTTGTATATGTTTACAATATAACTCAAAACATAATTACTTTAGTATTTAAGACCAAACAAACAAAAATTAGTATTACAAAAGACTATCCATTAATGTTGTGAAAAAAACATAAGCTGTTTATGCAATAAGTTAAAATTTTTAATTAATTTTAAATGTCACATCTATTAAAAAAACGTTTTGCATCAACTCTTTGGTCAAATTTCCAAACTTTCACTGGAGGTCATTATAAAAATCAAGTTTGTTTTTTTAATATCAGTGACATACTACAACAAAAATATTTGATTACATTGTACAGTAGCAAAATCAATAAATTGTTATTACATCATTTAACATAATCAGGAAGTATCTATATTATTATTCCCCCAAAGTTACAATTAATTATCAATTCATTGATTTCATTAAAAGTGACAAATAGCTGCTGTTGGATTCTAAACTAAAATATTAAATCATAAAAATATAATTCAATAAAAAAGTGATAAGGAATAGGCTGTGTAAAGTTCTTCCAAATAAATCTAACAAACTAACCAAGAGGGTATTGAAAGTCTTAAACTAAATTAGTAATTAAAATTATCAAATGTTGATACAAATATAGAGTGAATTTTTAAATAAAAACGGAACAATCCCAGGCACAATCTATATTAACATAAAACTAACTATAAGTGCATAATGCGGTGACCATAAAGATAGAACTGCAACATATATGTAATATGTCATGCAATACATCTAGTATCCATAGATAAACAGCACAAAACATAAAAATAACAGCAAGTGTTAATTCATGATTTATACAATGTAAGTTTATTTTAGATAATTACCACATGTAATTATATATATATATATATAGGATAACATAAAAAATATAAGCGTCAACAAATAAATATAATAGTAAAAATAAAGATTGTCAAAGAAAATAAAACATAAATGTGGATTTGAATTTCTGTTTGCAACTTCAAAACATTCATATCCAATGCACACTCAGAATTATATACTGAACCAATGCTCTTTGAAAACAAAATTAGCAGTAATTTATAATTTAAAATAACGAGAAAAAAAAACTTCTACAAATTGAAAATGAAACAAACAAGCATTTATATGACACAGAAAAAATAAAGCTATCTTACCTTCGGCTTCTTTAAGACTTTTAGGATTTACTTCAGACATGAAATCTACACGATAATTCCAAACCACAAACTTATATCTGTACGTTCAATACATATCACAGATTAACACTAATACTATGATCCCCAAATAACCACAAAATGTTTACAGTTTCAAATAGAATTAGAGAATCCCAAATAACTATCCTTTCAGATTAAGTAGGTCTATTCAGCTACAACTAATTCAGAAATTAGTTCATACAAATGAGCTTTAACATTTTAATTATTTTAATAATATTCAAAATACAAACGAATGATTTTGGGTTGGGTCTGAAAAATTAAGTTAATCCAAATATTAAGGTGGTTGTAATTTAGTAACCTCTCGCCAGTTTAACCTTCCCAATATTCCAATGCTGAAATTTGATTGTGGGTTGTCAACAAAATACGATTTATTGAAGAAATGAGTTTTATTTATCTTATTGTCATTTAATTTTTTTTTGCTGATTAATTTTTACTTTGATTACATCATTTAGTTATTAACTTACCCACCAGGTTTTAATAGTTACGTGGTATTTATGAAAACTATTATGATACTAAATGTGACAGCTCTGTTTATGTTATCTGTGAAGTGGCATTTTAATTAAAATCAGTATGTGGGGATTGAGTAAAACTTTGGAAAGGTTTATTTATGTTAGTCCCATAAATAGAAAACATCTTTCAGATGTTTACATTCGAAATTGCTCTTCTGAAAGCACAAATATTCTGAAAGTAGCCATAATAGGTGCTCCAAATGCTGGAAAAAGTACCATAATTAATCAGTTTGTTAAAAGAAGGGTAAGTCTTAAAGGATTTGGATTGATATGGTATTCTTGTCTACCATTGTTTAATTTCAATTTTAGTTTTTCAAAGTAAATCACTGTAACCAACATAAAACATTAATTTCAGATGTTACTTAGTTCATTTATTGTATTAATTACGTAGTTGATCAAAGGGAATGTGATAGTCCGAAAATGAGTGATCATGTATATACTGTGATTATCTTCCTATCCTTCTGAAAATTGTGATAACATTTTGGAAGATGATAGCAGAATATATTGTTCATTGATGATGTACCAATATTTCTTCCTGACCTAAAATTTTAGCTTAATTCAATGCTTAATCACAAATAGCTTTCTTCTTGGTTCCCAGTCATTCTGGTGTCTCTGGAAATGAAGAAGTGGACAGAACAGCAACACAAGCCCATTCACTGAAACTAATAATACCCCCTTATATCTCACCAACAGATTTATTGAAACCATTAAACATTAAGATTTTAAATGTATGGCGACAGTTCTGAACCATGTTGGAGAATAATAAACTGAGGATAATCAAACTGACCGTCATTTGTTGGGCCTCGTCCTCCAGGAAGTGTAGAGGAGAGAACATAGTCATCACACGCCTCAGAATTGGACATTGCCGGTTGACCCATGGCTACCTGATGGTAAGGGAAGATCCATCTCTGTGTCAACTCTGCATAGTGGCTCTCACAGTGAGCCATATCTTTGAGTGGTTTCTTTGCTACAGGAGAGAGATGAAAAGACGTGGTATACCTCATCAGCTCTGTGAGGCACTAACAGATAACGAACGACGTATCGATAGTACCATTGAATTTATTAAGAACATAGGGCTAATTCAACTGATCTGAACTAAATTATTTTTTCTCACAAATTTGAGATATAATGACTTAGTTTCTATATACTCTATACTTTTTTTCTCTCTTTTCTTTTTCTTCTCGATAGTAATTTATGTATATTTTTTTATTATTCCTTTTTAAAACATATTTACTTTTATAATAGTAGTTTTAAGATTGGAAAACAAACCAATCAGTACAATTTGAAAGCAATGATAACCGTCAGCAGTTTTTTGCCCCTAAACCCAAAACAACAACAACAATGCTTGATTGCTTGATCTTAATATTTCCAACTTACAAAAGGCCTCTTGTTTACCATTTCTAACTGTTGCTAGTGCTTGCTCTCTATCCCCTAAACAGTGAAAAATAAGGTAACTGATTTTATATTTACATTTGGTTTCATCTTTTTTTCTTCTATTACTCGTTCATTTCAAGAATATTAATTCCTTGTTGTTGTTTTTTTTTATCTCTATATCGTCTCATGATTTGGTAGAAGTTTGTCCTTAAAGTTTAAATAAAAGTTGGAAAAATGATTTAATTTACATTTATCCAATAATTTAATATAGTAACAATAAACTTGCACCATCTCTGTTTCCATTGAAGGCTATTGGAAGTCCTCTTATTTTGAGTTATCTCTTCATTTCTGTTTTGATGTCCTCTGCATGATCAAAATGCCACCCATCAAGTTACAAGGTGCCATATCAGGTAAATATTCGAGGCTTGAAAACTTTGCCGGGGGTATTATTATAATAGAGATTCTACTACCCCTATAATTATATAGGTATAATTATGTAAATTAACTCAAATATTTTTAGATAACAGAAGTAATTTTTATTTTTCTTATTTATTTCTCTCTCTCCCCTTTTTTTTTTAATAAGAGATTTCCCCAACCTATTAGAGGAAACCTATTGTATTTTATCTTTCTTACCATTATTGTAAATACTTTAGTTCACCTAATTTTTTTTCTTTTCATTTTCCATTACCTTTTAATCTTTTGGCTGGAAATACATTTTATTTTTCTGTAACTGCTGTTATTCTCATGGGACATTGTCCCAAAATAAAGTTATTTTTCTATTCTATTCAAAATAGTGCTTACCGTGTCAGATCACTTGAAAGAAAAAATAAAACAATTTAATTGAAGGAATTTAGACTGTTCTACATATCGTGGGTGATAAATATTCAGGACGCAGTCATTATAAAGTTTTTATTAGTGCCAACGTTTGAATCCAAACATGGGGCTCATCTTCAGGGCGTGTTTGGCGCACTCAACGGTATTGATTTACCTCTGTTTTTTTATTCATATGTGTTATTAATATTTCACATATCTATTTCCAAGAGCATGAATATTATTGAAATTTTTCTGTCTCAGAAGATTGTGTTGGATTTATTTTCATTCTAAAATGATGCAGAATACTATTAAAAATCAAATTTTGTTAATTTATATTGTTAAAAAAAAAATTATTTTTGATTCTATAGGTGTTTGCTATTTCTAAAAAAGTGCATACTACTAAAGTTTGTGCTAGAGCAATATTGAATCATGGAAATAAACAGATTATATTTCTAGACACACCTGGTCTCGTCTCTTTAAATGAATCAGAGAGGTCAATCATCATTATTACAAATTTGAACCATTTTCCTCATGAAATATTAATAATCTCATTATTCATTTTTTTAATATTTATTTTATAGATATAAACTTGGAAAATCATTTATAAGTGGTGGAGAAGATGCTATCTTAGAAGCTGACATAATTGGTGTTATCCATGACGTTTCAAATTCTGGTAGTCGATCCTCTCTGGATCCTAAAGTTCTTCGTCTTCTGAATATATATCAAGATAAGGAATCTTTGCTGGTTTTAAATAAGGTATATGCTCCTAACTCTAATTTAGTAAGATATATAAAAGTAATTTCATATAAAATTAAGAATTTCAGCAAAAGTCAAAACATAGTTAGTTGTCATTTTTGAGGCTTGAAAAAAATTAAATTATTTAAAAATATGTTTATATAAAATTTTATGTACTAGAGGCCACAAGCATAAATTCAAACCAATTGAAGTATGTTCATTTTTATCGTTTTCCATCATAACCATAGATTAGGTATGAGCAGAATTTACAGGCAAAATTTGTGGTGCACCATGGTCTAAAAAAACTGAAACATTAATAATTAATGGGTTTGAAATCTTTTAAACTATTCAATATTAGAATTTTGTTAATTACAGATAGACACGTTGAAATCGAAAAATCAATTACTTGAACTGTCTAAGAAACTTACTGGTGAAAAAATGAGATCTAATGTTAGTGAAGATACTCCGAAGAAATCATTATCGGAATTAGAATTGCAACAAATTATTAAAACAAAGCGTCATTGGGAGAACTTTAGTGAGATTTTCATGGTTTCGGCTTTACTCGGGAAGGGAATGCATGATTTTAAGGTTTGTATGTCAGATTTTGTCTAATATATTTATATATAATTGTTGAGTATTTTAAAAAATACCGCATAATGTTTTTCCTTTCATGATCAGAATGAAATTATCTTTTTATCTACGATATTAATCATTTATAAATATATTTATACCAAAGTTTTTTTTTTTGTATTTTTATTATGTTCTAGAATTATCTTTTAAAAAAGACTTATCCAGGAAAATGGATTTTCCCTCCTGATATTTACACAGATCAAAATCCTGTAAAAATAATTGAAGAAGCAGTTCATTCCAAACTACTGGAACATTTACCTGAAGAAATTCCTTATAATGTCAATGTAGAACTGGAGTACTTAGACATGGATAAAGAAGGTAGATAATTGTTTAAAATTCAATAACTTTTTTCTAACGATCTTCAAATCTGAGATTATATAACTAATGTGAAAACATTACTATATTTACTATTATATAAAAAGACTTCGTAGAAGCATTAAAATTACTTTAACATAAGATACTACTTATCATATTATGCCATCTATATTTGTTATTTACTATACTCTAGATCATAGGTGGGGAACCATGGCCTCAGAGGCCATATGCAGCCTGCAAATGTTTTTATTATATTTATTAATCTAGTGCTAGAATTAATTTATATTTAATTATTTAAGTATGTGGATCGCTGCATTTAGTGATAAATAAAAATAGCAATGGTAAAATATAAATAATTACTGCAGCCTCCATTAGCACTGTCCAACCTGAAGCTGACCGGCCACTGAGCGTAGTGAATCTCAGCCCAGTCAGCAACTTGCCTTGCATTGGTATCTTTCTAATATTCCGTATAACATTTTTAAAAATATATATATTGCATATTTAACATTTTAAAAAAATAGCAAAGTTGGTCATGTCGGAGTTGAAAAGAAAAATGAAATATTTGTGTATAAAATCGAATATTTTGCCTTATACATTCAATTAAGAATTTTTCCACATCCATTGCATATTTACTCTGTACCAATATAAAATAATTTGATATGTTTTGCATTGAAAACAAGCGGATAACTAAGAAAAAAAAAAATCATTGACTGTAATCTTACCAATTTTTTCAAGGGAAGCTATGAAGCTATTTTTAAGCTGTAATAGAAAATTAAAATAATTTTCTTCATTTTAATAAGTTTATTTTTTAAAAAATGTTTAAGATATATGTATATATTATATCATGTTTATATGTATCATGTATTATTTTCACTATTTTTTTTTTTTTTTTATGAAAAGCAAAATAAATATAAATTGTTTCAGAACTTATTTCTGCAGTTGTTTTGGTACAGTGCAATAATAGTAGACTTGTAGGATTGATTAAAGGTATAAAAGGAGGAAGAATTAGAATCATTGCTGACGAAGCAGAACAAGCCATCGCTGATGCTTTCCTCACTGATGTACATTTGAAATTAGTCATAACAGAAAAAAAATCATTAAAAGTTGAAAAAGATTATATAAATGGTTAACCATTTATTATTTTTACTGGGAAACTATTTTGTATTTATTTTATGTACAATATATTTTAAATTATATGTTTGAATATTTTTCTTTATTATTTGAAGGTCTTCTTTCATGTTTTACCCTTTTATTATTCACAAAAATGGTTGGTCCTCTTTGTGTTCATATCAAATATTTCTATTATAATTTGTATTTATTTTTTTTTTTTTTTTTTGTCCTTTTCCTCAACCTCTGATAGACCCGTGAATGGAAGTGTCTTGATTGATTTCTTCGGAAAATATATATTCATGACTGCATCCAGGTCGAATCTTTCGGATTATACTTTTAACTTCAAACATTTCAGTCAATAGCTAACTAATTTAGATGTTGCAAAGTAGGATGATAAGTCGTCATTATTTTAAAAGAGATTTTATTTTTAATTAAATAAATTGTGTTTTATTTTAATATTTTTTAAATTATTTATATGAAAGGGTTTTGAAAAAAAAAAAAAAATACAAAAAAGCAATTTTAATTTTAAATAAGTGCATATAAATTGGTTTTAGAATATTAAAATATCAAATCATTCAAATTTTAACATCATTTAATACAAATAACATTATTAAATTTACAGGAAATATTTATACAAATCAGTGTTATTTAAAAGCAGAGTCTCCAACTGTTTAAGTCTTCTAAAATAAATAAAATGTAAATTTGCAACTTCTAAAATTTTATATTTTTTTCTTTACACTTTTATTTTTTTAACTGAAGACTCCTCTCATTCTACAACTTCATTAAGATATTATGTGTTTTCACTCAAAGAACAAAAAGTAAATGTGCTTTGCTTAATATTATTTCTTTATTTTTATTAATGAAAAATTAAGTAATTGAAGAGCAGGATGGTTGGGTTGATCGTTGAGAAGTTTCTCATACCTATTGTTATCGGGTTTTTTTTTCTTAGCCCTGATGAAGGCCTGAACTTCGGGCCGAAACGTCGGCAAATATAATTATTTATTTTTATTATGACTGATCACCCCAACCATCCTTCTCTTCAATTATTCATTTCAGTCAACCATCAATTCAAAATTGTGAAAAATTAAGTAAATGATTGAAATTCATCTTTTAATATAATCCAAAGCTAACAGTTTTACAAAAAAAGCTTTAACACCAGTTTGATTCAAAGAAATAATATAATAATGAACCGGTGCTTGCAATTAGTGTACTATCATAGTTTTAAATAAGTAAATGTTTCATTGAACTATTGGAAATCTTAAGTCGGTAGTCTCATAATGTTCATTGATCCATTCTTCTATTTCAGCTTCAACTTCTGCTGTGTATTCTTCTGGCCTTTCTCGCTTTTTTCCTAATAACATGTTTACAAGATTTATAACATTATAAATAATATATTTACATAAGTACATTATTCTTCTTAAGTAGATTTATTTTATTTGTAATTAATAAGTTTATTTCCCTCCTGTAAGCGCTAAATAAATCCAACATAACTCTTCTTATGTATATTATGCAAAGATATGTTATAATCATGCAATGGAGTAAAAAATTTACAATAATTTGAGGAACAATATTCATGTGACAAAGAATGAATATGGAATTGAGATAATGAAATTATATATATATATATATATATATATATATATATATATATATAAAGGTTCATATTTAACTTATAACAGGACATCTTAGAAATATTTTGAAGACCTTGTAAGGGTTGGGGGATTGGTGGAAATTGGTCTTACTCATGGTGTGCCATTTTCATTATTATATGCCTAGCTTATTTTATTTTTTATGAGAAACTATGAAACACATTTTTACTCACAGAAGATCAATTGATAAAAAGAAAATGCTGAAAGATATTTTTAGGATGAAAGTTTAAAAGCTGGAGGCACAGCTAAATTCAAGCAGTCTCTGATGTAACAGGTATCTATTTCAACTACCCTGTCCTACCCCCTCAACTTTTTCTTAACCTAACTTATCGTTGCAAATATGCATCAAAAACATATTTTGTTATATACTAATCATCATCGATAAATAAAAATTATTGAAAAATCCTATATTTTATCAATGTTTTTTTTTTTTTTTTTTTTCATGAAAACAACCATTAACTTGTTACAGTTATATGATTTACCTTTTCTTATAAATGAAGGTTCAGACTCATTAAATATGCCAGTGTTCCTTAGATCTTCCATGTTGACAGATTTATTCTTTGAGAAGTTTGATATGGACATATGATCTGCCAAGCCCATTACTTGTTCCTCTGTCACTTCAATTTCCAAAAAATCAGCAATTTTGTATATCGCTTTTGGAAGGTCCTATGAATTTTTAAAGAAATGAATTAAATATCATATCTTAAAATTACAAATGGAATAAATATTTATTTATTATTTAATAGCAATGTTCACTTCTTTATTTAAAATACTGACTATATTCATAATTCTTTAACTCATTTAAGCTCAGGTAAATTTGTGTGATTTACTATATTAGATATCTATCCTTCTTTCTAATAATTTTGAATTATATACTATATTATGGAAACATTTTTATCTGTAGAAAGAAAATATAAAATAAAATAAAAATAAAAAACAATTTATTTAATAAGTTACTTGCAACTGTAGAAAATATCTTTTCCATTTAGCAATAAGTCTCAATTAACGAAATCTAATGACCTTGGTGGTTGAAAGACTTTAAAATACATTAAAAAAACAAAATAATAAGTCTTAGATGTCTCCATCATGGTATTAGGTATGAAGAGGTGTGCATAGGTACATAAAGAATTTGATCTTGAAAAATATATTATAAAAACTTTTTAAAATCATTCAGGATTAAGATACAGTTCTTTAAAATTTCAAATGTACTTCTTTATTTGTTTAGAACGTCTTAATCTCAGAATTAAGTTGTTTTTAACAAAATATTAAAATTACTAAATATGGAAATTACCTGAGCGAGCTCTTCGTAAAAAAGAAATAAGAAATTATCATTATCCTTGCAATCCCATGCTTCAAGAATATGAGACCAGAATGGACCCCATGGAACTGAAAATAGAATGCAAATTTTAAAACATAAATGCAGATATATAATATTTTTAAAATTTTTCAATCTTAAGAATTAAACAGGAAAATTAATAAATAAAAATTATTAAAGAGCATACCATGCCCATTTTTAAACTGTTTCCAAAATTGAAGGAAACTAGCTTTGTAATCAGTTGTTTTCCAAAGCCTTAGCAAAAAGTAATATGAAGGAAGAACATCTTTAGGATTTCTTGCCACATAGATAATCTGAAAACAATTATGGAATAATCTTTTTGTGCTTCATCCTTTTATTATTTTGTTCATATTGGTTCTAATTAATACCTTGTTTGTTTCCACTCCTTTTGGAAGAAGGGTGAGAGGCAAGTGTGTTTTTATTAATCTTGGGGATTCCATTGTTTTCAATCTTTCTGGTGCTGGCACGCTAAGTTCTTTTAGCACTTGTACAGCTTCAGGATCGTTGTCTTCAAGTAATGCTTTGGCAGTATCATTGTGCATAAATAAATGAAACCTTTGAAATAAAATTAAGGCAAAATAGAATTATTACATGAAACCAACATACTCAAAAATCAATGAATATTATTGAAATTTATTGATTATTATAAATGTATTCTATTATCAGAGTTAAAGTGGTGTTAATGTGTTATGTGTGTGGTATTAAATCCAGACTTGTTTCACGAATCAGCTATAAAGTACACTAAGTTCATCTATAACAAGTTGTCTATATGTTTATTAAATTGAAGAGTCAAGGACAAAAAAGCTGGTGATCATACAACATTATTCAATCACAAAGTAAAATGAATTCAAATCACTTTATCCACTATAAAGAAAACGTGTTCTGTCGCTTGGTATCTTAATGAACTCTGTACTGAACTATTGAGGTTATGTAAAGAGAAGGAAAAAAATATATCACTTTACATCATTGTCAATTTTTCCCAAAATGTTACTTATCCACTTGAATTATGTTAACACTTTCATGAATGTCATTGAATGTGAATCACGAATAGTCCTTAAGGCAAGAAAAGTGCATACTAGGGGCTACTATATTAAAGTTTCAATCTCATAATACCAGACATGATCGAAACCTGGAAAAAACCAAATATATGATATCCTCAAAAAATGGGGACCAGGATAGCATGCAACTGCTCCACTACACTTTTAAGAAAGCTGGCAGTTTCAAATATCTTGGAGCTTTAGTGACGTACAAAAATGACCTCACTGTAGAAATTAAAGCAAGAATCACAGCAGGCAACAGATGTCTTTTTGCATTACGGAAAACATTGCGTTTTCGAAACCTTTCGGGGAGGACAAAACTACTGGTTTATAAGACTATCTTGAGACCAATTGTAATTTACGCAGGTGAAACATGGGTCCTGACACAGGAATGTGAGAAGATCCTCCGGATCTGAGAAAGGAAGGTCTTTCGGCAAAATCTATCTTGAAAAAGTAAAGATTTTAATTATTACTCAAAGTTTTCGTAAACTCTTACTATTTCATAAAAACAATATTTTATTTTATATTAAATTACATTTTTAACATAATTTCTTCCCTTATTTGTCATTACTTTCATGAAATGTTAAACCATGGTGAAAGAATCCAGTAGTACAGCATTCCTCTTTAAATATATACTATTTTTTTTTTTTTTAATGCACACTATATATATGGAATTTGAATGATAAATAAATAGAAAGAAATGTATACTTAAATAACAACTGTAGATAAAAAAGGAAAAACTTCTGAAAATAACGATAAAAATCTTTGAAAGTGAGGGCAAGTAAGGGAAGATGACATATCACAAATGTAATTTAATATAAAAATAATATACTCTAAGAGAATGAATTTCAAAATTCCTCTATAGAAGAGATGGTTGTGTAAAGATTTTACAGTTACTTAAACTTTGTAAAATTATTCCAATTAACTTTATTCACATTGCCTTTTATTATTTGTAATGGCGAGCTTCTGAATTTTAATATTCTCCTATATTACCTTTAATTAGTATGTGTACCTATAATACTTTTAGCAAGTATATTTATAAGATTCGATCTCATTGTAGTTTTAATGATTGATAACAGTAACAAATACTTAAGAAAGACACTACTTACTCATAAAATGGAGACCGTGACCATACATTCATTTCGTTGGCCTTTTCATAGTCAAAGTTGTTCATTAACAACCAAACTAAATGTTGACTTAGTGTAGTACCTGAAAACGGAAGAAATTATTGATCCATAAAGAATAATTAATTAAAAAAACATTTCATACATATCTTGGACATTACCTGATCGTGGAAAAGTCACAATCCATACATCATCTGGCCTGCCTTCGAAATCGTAAAGTTCATCGGCAATGTCTGCAAATCTCCCCGGTAGTAAATATTTAGTTTCACCCGCATAACACCATTCAGCTTTGTCACCAGGATAATCTTCCTTCAATTCGTTGTTTAATTCCTCTTCCACAATTTCAATAGATGGAATGCTATCAGACATTTTGTGAACTGTCGAATCAAAAATTTTGATGTGTTAAAAGTTGTTCTCACTGTATTTGATGAAAGAACGATGAGCAGTAGGTCCAATATCTAGGTCAAGGCAAAGTTGAAAACAGAACTGCCAATTTTCTTATTTATTATTTATGTTATGGAACATTATAATTCCAAAATTTGATATGAATTGCTCCAAAGATAAATAGTTCATTTATAGCAGCACTACTTTGTATATTATTAAATATCAATGATTCATTCATAATTTAATGTTGCTTTCAAAACTGTTGGCTTCTCTGGGAATAGTAAATAATATATGGAAAGGAAAAAAAAATCAATAGTTGTGTTATTGTCTCCTCTGCCTGATAATTTTTTTCCACTAAGCATTTTTAAACTAAACTATGTGCCAATTTTATCACCTCTTATTTAAATATATTTTTTTAGTTCTGGCTTAATGTGATTATTTTCCCAGCTTATTTAATTAATTAAAAGTTATTTTATCAAACAAGTTTTAAAAAGTACCCATCTAAAATAGATTTTCATGTTAATAATAAAAAGATTACTAGAAAAAAAAAGTTGTTACCATTTGAAATAAGTTTTCATATAAATAATAAATAATAATAATAGGATGTATAACTAAATAAAAAGGTTCTAACATTTTTTAGAAATTTTCAGAGATCTAGAAAAAGTCTCACTTTTAACCGAATATAATCATATTTTCAGTGGTTAACTTCCTACATTATATTAGACAGTTAATAGTCTGAAAATCAATCTACAGAATACATTACCTGTCTGATTTGGCTATAAAATGTCTCTTAATACTGACAAAACGATTTATTAATTTTGGTACCTTCTTAGAGCCTTCACTTAGAGGGGGAGAAAAGTGATTGCGCTTTTATGTTAGGTTTGGTTTTTGATAAAAAAAAAACTAATATCTCTAGTCTTTATAAATAATAAAAGAGGTCAAATGTAAAAAAAAAAATTAGAAAAATAATTAAATGTTTAATTTTTAAAAAATATATTCATTTAGTTCTTATTTAATTTATTAATTTGTCGTGCCTATTTATTTCATCGAACAAATTTTAAGAAGTACCTGTCTATGAATGATTAGAAAAAAAATTTAACAATTTGAAATTGAAATTCTTAAAATTATCTCTTTTTGTATAAATAATATAGGAAGTATAACTAAATAAAATTGCTGTAACATTTTTTAAAAAATTTCATGGATATAGGAAAAAGTCTCAATTTTGACCAAATTAACATATTTTCCAGGGTTAATTTCCTATGTTGTATTAGACAATATATCAGACGAACAGTTTGAAAATCGACCTGCGGAATACAGCACTAGTCTGATTAGGTCACAGTCTTTTAATGCTGAAAAAACGATTTATTAATTTTGTTCAGTTAATATATTTTTAGAGAGAACCCTTCATTACAATGGGGAAGGGGGTGGTTACCCTTTATTGTTAGTTTTAGTTTTGCAATAAACAAAAACTAATATCTCTACAGACTTTACAATAAATAAAAAATGTCACATGTAAAAAATTATAGTTAAATGTAGGAAGATAGTTTAATGTTTAATTTAAAAAAATATTTATATGAGCATGGAAGATAACCTGGCATTAGAACTCGTTTCCTGACATCTCCTTGTCTAATGCTACTGATTTAAATATTTTTAAGGATATTTTGTTTTCCCTAATGCCTAGCTACTTCATCATTAGAGTCTAGACCGATCCTTGTTTCTTCTGACATCACATAATCTATCTATTTTTCAATCCTCAAAGTGGCATGATTTCAGGCCAACTCTATTTGTGCATATGGCTTAATACAGAAATTTTCTTGCACGTAAAATGGATAAACAATATTTTTTTATTGATCTATAGCTGTTTCCATGACTGATCTGAGCTAAATAGTAAACAATCACAATATTTTGTCAATTATAAAACATTTACTGAATGTAAGTCCATGTCAAGAAAAAATTTATCCCCAAAAATATTGTTGTTTCATTATGATAAACAACCTTATTAGGGTTATTCATATTTATAGTGAGATTTATTATATTAAATCTATAATTGATTATTCTCTTAATAAGACCCTTATTTCTTTTCCCAATCCTTTATTTGTATTTAACACATTATTATATACATATACATTTTTCCTTTTTATATAACGATTCGGCCTTTTTGGCCATTTTCAAAATTACTAATTGCACATTTTACACCTGTCCGCATTTGTATAATTTTTACTCTTCAAATTTATCCAGAATAAATAAGGTATTTCTGTTTGTCAGTCAAGAAGTTATTTGTTGGTGGCTATACTTTTCTTTCTATAAAATAAGAAAAAAACTTATTTTACTTTGTACATTTTAATAAAATAATCATCAAATAAATAACATTAATCTTCCAATAAACAATATTCAATTGCCAACTTTATATGAGATGTTTTTTTTCTTTTTCTATTTTAAATTATAATTAAATCAACAACATAGGCAAAATTTATTCAAAAAATCATTATGCGCCCAAAACTGAAAAATATATATTATTTAATTTAGTTTCTATTTATCTTGTTTCATGTGTGGAAAAAACTATATGGTATGCCTTGATCTGTACTTTATTCATATTTTCTCCTTATGTGACACCTTAACATACTTGCCCTACTAACAATTGAAATGAGATTTGAGGTAAGTTATTATTATTGTTTCTGTGAAAACAATTTTTTTAAATTTAATTTTTTGAACAGGATAAGGACCACTTAAACATCATTTCATGTAGTTTCTCTTTGGTTTCTTCCAAAGTAATTACTGTAAAAAAAAGTGAGGTGGGAGAGGGAGAGGAAATGTATCTTTTTCCATCTCTAAAATGCGAACAGATTTTTTTAGTTCAGAATTTGAGTCATATAAAAATTGATTAATGGACTACCTACTCATTATGTTTAGGGTTTTATACCCTCCAATTTTGTGTAATACTGTTATGTTACACTAACCTTCACTCCCAAATATTTCTTAAGTGCCGGTGTCAATGTTGCTAATATTTTTAATCCCTTTAACAATGAGTGGATAATGAGGAGATAAAGAAACAATGTAATTTTTTTTCCACGTGTACCACTTCCAATGTTAAGTAGTATAGTATTTTATGACACAGAGAGCGTTTGAAGTGTTAGATAAGTAGGATCAAACATGAATGGGAGTCAATAAAATAATTAGTGATGTTTGTTATATCTCTCTTTATTTTATTTATTTGTTAATTAAGTACATTATTTCGTTTTAATTGTTTATTTAACATAAAACATAATTTAGAACAACCTTCATTAAAAGGAGAAGTGACTATGAATATGTGTGTACAGTAAACTTTCTCTAATCTGGCATAATTTTCTAAAATTAATTTACATAAATTGTAAAACATCATTTATGTCTTGATCAAGTTAATTCTTGGCTATAAAATTAATACTTTTAATGGAAAATATAGTGTCTGAGTTTAGACCAGTCTTCCAATACGAAGCACACAACTTCGACCAATTTCAAACAAATTTTTTTAACCCTTCTATCCACTTTCTTGTTTTATCACCAATTATTATATGGTTATTATCATTATTACATTTTTTTATCGATTTATTAATAAACCCATTACTTTTTTTATCATACTGATAACAGCGCACCGTGAGACAAAACTGCATTTTTTTGTGATTTTGATTAAATTAATCATATCAGTGTAAAATTAAGCAGTTCTAAATAAAATGTAGTTTTTATTCTGATTGATGTTCTCTAACAGGGCTTAAATGGATAATTTTCAATATTAGCTTTCCCTAAAGTATCTTTAATTCTTTTTTAATTGAAACAATTAACCATTTCACATTAATCTCTAATATAAAAGATAGTTAAATATATAATATGAAAGAATTTGATAATTAACTAAAGGAGGAATAATAAATCATAACAGAGAATAGTTGTAATGGAGGAACCGCAGGAATACGAGTACACCCCTGAGATTAGGGCATGTTTCCAGACATAACATGAGCTTAATATAATACGGACTCCAACAATATTATATAAATATACATATTTGGTTTTCTTAAATCCTATTGTTGGTATTATTTAATATTTAATTGCATAGGTTACAGCAATATAAATATTAAAATTTGTATATATAAGGATATTTATACAAATAAAAATACCCACAATGAAATATAAATAAATATAGCATCTATACTTTTTACTATCACTTCTCCTTTGTCTGAAAACAAATTTTTCTGCTAAGAAGAGGGTGGTAAGTAAAAGTTGTGTAATGCACGCACCGCACTAGATTTTTTTAAAATATACCTTGAGCTATATAAACACGTATAATGATATTGTTTTTGGGATAATAATTTGAATCTTACAAATTGAAATTCACATTCTACGTTTTTAAAACGAAAAAATAGTTAATTTATTTTTTTTACATTTACAAATTATTTAGTAAACCCTTAACAAAGATTTTGCATAGCGATAATTTCACTGTAACGCCAAAACAGATCCAAAGATTTTTATGAAACTTTCTGAAAGTCTTCTTAATTCCGCTTGGCTATCCTTACATATTATAAATATCACCTAAAAAAAAAATATTTGTGCATAACTCAAAAATTATAGTACTTATGATAAATTGTGCATACATTTATCATGAAATAAACTGAAAAAATACAATAAATCGTACAGTTATTAGCACAACTACAGTTTATTGGACTTAATGTACATACATTTTAAATTTAAATAATAAACGTTTGTAATCGACCAGATTTATTTTAAATTTATAAATAAATCACAAAATTCAAATAATAGTTTTGTTGAATTTTGACCACTGGGCTCTCCTAGTTCTTTTAGAGCTATTTAAAGATTTAAAATATGTTTTATTGTACTTTTTCTAATACATTTTTTTCTGATATTAATTGTACCATCCAGAATATTTAGTAATCCGGCATTTCTAAACTCTCAAACTTGCTGGATTAGAGGAAGTTTAGTGTAATAAAAATAAAATAAAACTAATAAATATTTCTTTAAATAATTTTTTTTTTAAGAAGGAAAAGTTAGATAATCTTTTTCATAGTTTTCCTTCATCCAATCGTCAATATCATTTTCGATTTCATTATTTAGTCCTTCAGGTTTTTCTCTTTTTGCACCTAAAATAAAATAAAAGTAAAAAATTATAAAGAATAAACTTATTTTTTTCTAATGAAAACTAGAAGTTACATACCTTTCCTCACAAATGATACTCCATCTTTTTCAAAAAGTCCTATTCTTTTATATATTTCATAATTCACAGCCGGATTTTCCCGAAATGATTTTAAACTCACATGTTCTAAAAGGGCTTTTACTTTATCTGTTGGTGCTGGCACTGATAAGAAATCTGCTATTTTATAAATCGTAGTCACCATGTCCTGTTTGGAACATAAATAATACATACATTTATTTATTAAAAAGTAATTTATTTATATAGTGGATGAGTGACATGATTAAACAATATAAAACAAAATTGAGCCATCTTTATGCATTATGTCATTAGAATTATTTTAAGTCTTTGAAGAAGTTTTTTCCAATTAATACCAAATGAATTAATAGAATTAATTTATTTACGAACATTTATATTTGATCAGAACTGAAAATCTAGGAGGCAAAGAAATATACCTTTTGAAGTTTGAAAAACAAATGGTTCTTAAATTTAATGAAGGGATTCCACAACCAAACAATTGAAGGCAAACAGTTTTTGTCCTTCTCAGAAACTTTATCTTTATTGCAGAATTATTATTTTTATTGCAGATCTTGATAATGTTGATACTCAGTTCATTATCAATATTTGAGGTAAACATTATTTCTGGTGGATAGAATATCTTTGGATATCGATTTATTTAGTTATATCTTTTATTACAAAAAAGTCCCTTGAAACTGTTATTTAAATTTCTTTTTTCCAAGTAGTTTCACAGGAACTGTTAAAATACAACTTTTATAAAACGTTTCATGAAAGTTCTATCCCAGGTATGAGAACATTTTAAAAAGAAACCTGTACCACTAATACCAATGAAGAGGTTCAGTACCTTGTAAGTACTGATTCTTGGTTAATTGTAGTGCATGGAGTTGTTGACCAAGATCACACTCTTAATTCTAAAATATATGGATAGAATGGCTTAACTCCTTTAATCTGCCTATATATACTTTTAAGAAACCTTCCCATAAAGGAGAAAATGTCTTCCATTTCATTGAATGAGAAATAATAAGGAACAAAAATACAAATAGGATGTATATTATGTATTAATTATTTTGCCATTAGTTGATTCCAATCTATCTACTAATGCCAAAATCATTAATAAGTTTATAAACTAAGATGAGCAACGAAAATCCATGAAACCGTTACTAAACTCATTAGTGTAACAATGGATAAGTTCCTAAACTCATAGCTGAGGTCATTGATGAGAATCGGAAATCCATCAATAGATTAGCGCGGAGTTAAGATTGACTAAACGAAACTGTAGTTGCGTGTACTGCGGGAACTGTAGACACTTGGTGCCGTCTTCGGTCAGTTCATATCAGGTTTTACGGGTGAAGCCCCTCCCCTCAAAATGATAAAATGTAACCATGTCCTTTGAAAAAAATATTAAAAATTATCTCTAAATGATTGTTTGTGTAATTACATTTAAAGGACTTCAAGAATCACTTATAAACTTATAAGATATAGGTAGATAGTTTCTTTCTTTTTCTTCCAAAGTAATTATCGTCATATATATATAAAAAAAAGCTTTCGGGCTGAAGCCTCTCTCCAAAATTAAATCCTGGATCCACTAGTGCCTTAATTAATAGCGACCTTATTTCTAAACTTTTTTTTATTTATTATAAAATATCAAAAACACTAGCATAGAGAAAAAAAAACATTTAAATATTTATATTTCCCATAGTTTGTGAACACACCTTGTGATTCTATATATTTGTTTTTTCCCTTGTTTTATTTCGTCCGGTTACGGAGAGATATTCTATCGGATTGACAAAATATGGATCCATAAGTATATCCTTCGGAATCATTAAACTTTTTTTTATACGACCATAGAGAAAATTAATTAAGTATTCTGCATGAGAAATGTTAAAAAAAAACAATGACTGCAGAATCTCACCAATCCGGTCCTCATTCATGGCAGATATTGTCGAATTACCGAAATTGTCGGATTATTAGATGCACGGGGGAGGGGAGGGGAGGGAGCTTTCGGGCTGAAGACCTCCCCTCCCCCCAAAAATGGTAAAATTTAACCATGTTTTATGGAAAAATATATTAAAAAATTATCTCTTAAAATATTATTGTTCGTGTAATATCATTGTAAAGGACTTTAGGAATCACTTAAACACCATTTCATATAAATAGTTAGTTTCTTTCTTTTTTTCCAAAGTAATTATCGTCATTTTTATGAAAAAAAAAAGCTTTCGGGCTGAAGCCCCGCCCAAAATTAAATTCTGGATCCGCTAGTGAGTAGATGTACATTTAAATAACAAATATTGACGCGGAAATATCCTAAAGTTATCTACGAAAACTAATTAAAATATTTTATCGAAATAAATTACGATTTCTTAAGGCGAAATAAAATAAACATCATTATTATAAATGTAAAGAAAATATTTTAAATAATTTATTAATGTGCTCTGTTTAAACCGTTGAAGAACTAAAAGTTGAGCTAATCTAAATTTGAAATATATGCTTAAATGTAAGCATTGAAAAGGTTGTTGCTTTTTTTTGCAACTGAAACGCACGAAAATCGCTCTTTTCGCAGATAAAAAGAGTTTCGCCTGAAATAATCCCGTGCCTGTTTCTTTTTTGACTTGCGAAAACACTCCCTCTTTCAAAATTTTCTTGCACTGAATGATGACTCGATATTTGTTTTGAAGAATGATTCGATTTGGCCCTTTTTCTTTACTCGAGTCTTATTACAGTATTATTATTGTTTTCTGACTAATATTTTAATACTTAGATGAATAGAAATTTCCACTCTAGGTGGAATAGGTTTGCTACCTTCAAAATAACACGACTTCCTAAGGCAAGTATTTTTAGTAGTGATTTAATATTTTCTAAATGTTTCAGTTTTTTAAAAACTAAAACAGTGTATTAGAAAATTAAAACCTTTTGAAGAAGTTAATACTATTTTTTTTTTTCAAATAAACAATATATGACTTAATTTTTTTTTTTTTAGGTTATATATTTATTTATTTGTATTATCTCATAAAATATAATCTATTGTACCTATGTTTGATACTCACTATATTCATTTATAAAATAACTTTACCTTCATCATGTCTTCATAAAAAATAAAGAAGACATTTGGATCGTAGCGATGAGCCCAACCTTCCAAAACATGGCTCCAGTGTGGACCCCAAGGAACTGAAAATAAAATAAATGTTAAATAATAAAGCAGAGATTATTATAGACTTTTTATTAGAAATAAATTTGCTGCATACCAAGACCCTCTTTAAACTGTTTCCAGAATTTTGGAAATGGAGCAACATAATTGCAGGTACGCCAAGTTTGAAGTAAGTGATAGTATGATACAACGACATCCTTCGGATTTCTCGCAACATATATGATCTTTAAACAAAAAAAAGTATGTTTGAAATAAAATTAAGGTACAGTTTAAAAATTAAAACATATTTATAAAATGTGTTTATTTCAATTAATACAAATCTCCTCAATCATACACGCACTAGCGGATCCAGGATTTAATTTTGGAGGGGGAGGGGAGCTTCAGTCCGAAAGAATTTTTTTTTTATTTATGTAAAACGATAATTATTTTTTTTAAAATAAAGATATTAACTACATATATGAAATAGTGTTTCTTGAAGTCCTATTAAATGTAATTACACGAAAAACAATACTTTAAGAGATAGTTTTTAATATTTTTTTCTATAAAACATGTTTATATTTTATCATTTTGAGGGGGGGGGCTTCAGCCCGAATGCCCCCCTCCCCTCCCCGTAGATCCGCCTTTGCATACACGTACCCTTATTTATTTTATTGTTATTTGTATTTTTAAAACCTATATGATTTGTAATGAATACTCGTATCTCATGGCAACTGTGAAATATAGAAAACTATTGTTAATAGTACAGACCCTTTTTTATCAAATTATTAACATTCGCTTAAAACTTCGTGAATGGCTTCATCTTATCGTAATCTAAAATTTTTTTATCTAAGAAAATTCTCAGAAATGGAACGATTTATCATTAAACTAATTAATTTAATGAGGGACTAAAAGATCATAAATACCCATTTATTTACCGCTTGAATCGTAAGGTAATTTGACAACAGAAAAAAAAAAAAAAAAGGTGACCTACAAAAATATTAAGTAGTTTGACCTACATATCCTTGTTATTTTGCCATGTGGATAGAGTTCAGGCCAAACGGCCTAATATTTTTGTAGGCCACCGTTTTTCTCAATTTTTTTTATCAAATTATTTTTCGATTTAAGTGGAAACCAGTTCATGAGTTTTAGTGCTTACTTAAATAGACGTAGTTTGCGATCTCCAAATTGAAAGCGCCCCATTTCCGAGAATTTTCCGAAAAGTTATAGATTACGATGAGATTAAGCTATTCGCGATGTTTTTGGCGGATGTTGATAATTTGATAAAATGGATCTGTACCACGATCTATAGAATTATACTCATTATCTCAAAAATGCCAAATTTTATGGCTTTATGATGCAGGCTCCATAGAAACTTACCAAACTTGGTCTTGTCCTGTTTCAATGAGTTAAATTAATTTTAGCCTGTATTGAATCGAAAAAAATATTCAATTAAACACAATTCACATGTGATTAATACAAAATATAAATTTTCTCCTGGGTATACTAATGGATCTAGGATTTAATTTTTGGGGGGCTTGTTTTTTTTTTATTTTATTTTAATAACTGTAATTACTCTGGAAGAAAAAGAAAGAAACTATTTAAAACAATATATAAGTGGTCCTTGAAGTCCTATAAAAAAAACTAAAAAAAAAAAACTGCATGAACAATAATGCTTTTAAGGATAATTTTTTCTTGATACGTCCTTGCATTTAGTTGCTGAAATATATGTGTTATAATTTTAAAAGAGAAAATATTTTGATTTTTGAATTGAAAACTTACTTTTTTTTGTGGAGGGTGAATTAGATTGAGCTGTCAGATTCCGATGTGTAACGCTCGGGTAAAGTCGGCTGGAGTCGATTAATTGAAGTGTTTTTGGATATTGATTAAAATATCTCAAAAACTAAAAATGGTATCTAGATATTGTAAGCGGAGGAAATGTTCATCATTTCATCCTCTTTGTAATGAACTATTATTCACAATTGTATTTTAACTACACCGTTTTAGAGAGGCAAAAAAGGAAAAATAGTGTGTCGAAAACCAATTGATAACGAGTTTTATTGAAATATCTCAGAAACTAAAATCTGCATACTACAAGCAAGGAAACTCTTCAGCATTTCATCCTCTCTGTAATGGGCTATTATTCAAAATTGTATCTTATCGCGATGCTGTGTTAGGGAGGTGAATAGGAAAAATACACTGGCTAAAACCAAATGATAACGAGTTATATTGGAGATATGGATTAAAATATCTCAGAAACTAAAAATTTGACCTGCATATTGTTAGCAAGAGAAATTTTCAACATTTCATCCTCTCTTTAATGAGCTATTACTTATAATTTAAATTTCATATTATTAATCTCGCCTTATTGATGTTTTCACTTCTATGTGTGGTCTAAAGTATACACCTAATTTTCTTTTTATTATTAAAGTACCTATTTAGCTCCGAACTCTCAGAATTAAATATGAAAAATGAAAAAAAAAATTCCATTTTGGGGAGGATTCTGGTTTGGTGCCTAGGCAGGATACTCATAAAATAACTAGGCCCTGGGTGAAAAATGTCTAATGCAATCACTTAAAAAAATTTTGTTTCCTTTGAAACGTCATTTGTTATAATTCATCCCTCTTGAGAGTTGTAAAAGAGATCTGTTCTATAGAATTAATATATAGTGATAAATATATTTGATATAAAGATTTTAAGTTTCTATGAAATTAATTTTTTCCCCTTAATATTTTCCTCTGATATTTCAATCAAACCTTCTGCCTACATATTCCTGGACAATGACTCAATATCTTGTTGATCCTTGTTAGAATGTTAAGTGTCTTTCCAGCTAAAGCCCTCCTCCAAAAAATGAAAAAAATATATATTTTTTCAGTGTTACTTTACTAAACCAAAACAAGTATTGTGATTCAAATAAAAAAAGTCATTTAAACCATTCAAATTAACAGAAAAAATACCTTGCAATTTTTCTCATTCACTTCTTTAGGTAAAAGACTCAGTGGGAAGTGAGTTTGTATAAGTCTTGGAGATGACATGGATTCTATCACTAAATATCCAGGACAACTCTGACTTTCAACCAATTTTATGTTTTCATCATTATTTTCATTTTCTTTCAGAATCATCGATTTTGTTTTTTCATGAAAAACTATATTTGCCCTATAATATGTTAATAATAATGTAAGAATAAAGATTTTAATAAATTAATAAAAAAGAATAAAGACATTGTACATTGTTAAAACAATCAATACTTACTCAAAAAAAGGAGATCTTTCCCATAAATATAATTTTTTGGCAGTTTCAAAATCGAAATTATTCCTAATTAACCATACTAATTCTTGTGTTAATGTTGTTCCTAGTAAAATTCAGATTTCATAATGTACAAAATATTGTTTAATTAATATATTTATTGTTAATATGAAACATACCCGAACGAGGAAATGTTGAGATCCATATATCATCTTCTCTTACAGGGCAGTGATAGAAATTGTTCACCTCATTTTTGTATATGCTTGGCATAAGATACTTTTTTGTTCCTGCAAAATACCAACCACTATGTTCACCTTTGTGGTCATTTAGGAGTTCATCATTTACTTCTGCACTAACTGCTACAACTTCTATAGGTTCTTGGTTTTGATCCTTGGATTATTTTAGTTTGATAATTAGAAAAAAAGATAAATTAATTGGTCATAAATTTGAATAAAATGGAGACCCTTAAGGGATTGCCAACTCACCTCCCCTGGCATGTTATCTTCACAGTTGGTACTGGTATTCTGAATTGGACATGACATATCATCGGTAATATCTGAGGCTTTTATTGGTAGTACCTTTTATCTGTTATGTAATGGGAATATCAAATAAAAAAATATATATCTCATTGGAATTTTAATAAAATTTTGAGATGGATATATTGTCGACTGTTATTTAAAAATTATAAAGACGATAAATAGGATTTGCAGTGTAATATGGTTTTAATAAACCATATGTACACTGCAAATCCTGATTTTTTAAAAAAAATATTTTTGTTTTTTTATTAAAACTGGATTGTACTTTCAATAAATCTGAACCTATAATGTATTTTCAATGTCAGATTAGATTTTGATTTACTTGTTTTATTGAAATAAAATATTTATATTAGTATTTATTGAGAATTATCCTTTATTAATTAATATGTTTCATGTTTAAATTTATATCATTATAATTTTAAGTAGTAGTTAAAATCAGAATATATATGATAAGAAAATAACAAGTAATGAATGAATATAAAGTTATTCTTATATTTAATCAATTATAAATTTAAGAAAATTAATTTAATATTAAAAAACATACTCAGAAATTAATAGTTCATTTCATACATCAATAAATTTTCATCACTAGCAAATCATGAAGTAATAAGTAATAAATAGAACAAAGTTCAGCTTACTCAAGTTAAATAAATTTATTACTTTTCAAGTTAATGTAATCCAGAATACATATCACCTACAGCAACCTCAGGTCTTGCTGCACAGGTTTAAATATAGCTTGGACGGGTTTTAATTTATTTTTTGGTTGACCCAATGGCAGATAAATTTTGACTTTTTCACTCTGGCTAAAATAAGCTGGTTACCACTCTCTGCAAGGATATTCTTCCCATCCCCTCATCCCATATGCCGGAATTGTACGGGTGAGGAGAAATAGAAAAGAAAAAAGTAAATGTAATACGGTAAACTGCTGATGTAAAATATATAATAAACAATAATTAACAAAAAAAAAATTATAATTTTTAAATTATAAATATTATTTTTTTTTAGAGTGTAAATTGTAATTAGTAATATAAAATATAAAATGAAATATATAAAATAAGAAAAAAAAAAGATACGTTGTACCACTACTTGGTTCAGTACTTTGTAAGAAGCTACTGTTTATTGGTCAACGGGAGTGCAAGGAGGTGATTTGACCGATACCACGCTCAACCGCCAGGTTTCCCCCTTAATTAAATATTTAATTAAGAGTACCCACTTTATAGAGGCTGAGTGTGCCCTAGGGAGTTCTCCTAATCCCAGGATCAATCCAAGGCCACTGAAACAGAATAAATAATTTATCTGTCATTAGCTGAATTCGAACCGGGGACCTTGACCATGGGTAGTCAAAGACTCTACCATTGAGCTATCCTCCACTCCCAAATGGAAAAAATCACAAAAAAATTAATTTAAAATGATTGAAAATACATAAATTATTATTATTTCTTTGTTTTTTTATTTTGAAGATAACCAAAATTAATAAAAAAGAATGTTTTAGGTCTGATTTACATAAAAATAATGTTTTATTATTATCTAAAAGTAGTAATAAAAATAAATATATTTAGTAACTACAGTTATGTTTACAACTTAAAGTGGGCTCTGGAGCAGTGTTGCATTTTTAGTGTTAAAACAGAATCAATATTCTTAAAGGATTGCAACTATGTGATCAATGCATCAAAATTATCACTATCAAAATTTTGTATTATAATTATATAATTAACACAAAGGAAGTTTGTGAAACCGTAAAATTTAAAAATAAGATTGAAACAAAGTTAGTAACACAAAAATGTTATCATAATTGCAATAGCTAGACATATTTTATTTAATAATCACAGCTTTAAATTTAATAATAAAGGATATTCCAAAATTATAAAACTCATTGAATCGATTCACAGCACAAAATACATAAATAATGTCATAAATTTCAAAACAGATGTTAAGGGAATTGGTCCACATTATGTTGGCATAATAATAATAATATAATAAAATAGACATTTAACAATCAGTGACTATGAGGAGTAAATGAGTGTATAAAAGTATTTACTTTAAATTAAGGCACAGTGCAATTAGAGTATTAATAGATAAAGGACACCGTTTTAATTTAACTCTTGTCAGGCGCAGCTCCACATTAAAAATAAATTCATCTAATATTGACTGAAAGACGAATCATTGAAAGTAAAAGGCTTTCTTTCATTGGTAAAGCCTATTCAGTTCAAAGAATTAAGTGAGTTTAAAATTGATTTTCATCAATTATGAAGACAGAGCTATCAAAACTTTTTCTCTCAAATTGTAAAAAAAAAAAAGCACTACTTCTGGCCACTGGCAAGATAATGATCAATATCCTGCTAAACTAAATACATCTATATTATGAAAATATAATATATTACAATCAACCAGGATTCAGAAAAGGATCGAGACACTCCCACAACTGAAAATTCATCAACAAGATTTGATTAGATGAAAAATCGTTTGTGAGGGTAAGTAGTTTCAAATACAATATGCTCCACAATATCCTCAATAAATGATCAAAAATTTGTTTCAAAAGTAGACCTGTGAATAACAAGTATGAACAGAAATTTCTTCTCTCTTAAAAGGTGTTAAAATTTAAAAAATCTCAAATTAAATGTGATCAATGTTATGATGAAGCCAGTTCTGATAAAAAATATGACAAGATCTGGAGACTAACCAATACTCTAGAAAGATGTATTGAAAGACTTGAGAGAAAACTCATCCTCCTTACGATAACTGGAGCGATTCAGGTTTAGAGGACTAAAGCATGGAGAAGAAGGACCACAAAACTAAAAACTGCTGCCAGAAACTGATCAATCTATATCTCATGATATGAAGGCAGGAAGCTGAAATGGACCTAAGTAGCCCAAGAGAGGCATGCGTAAAGAACTCTGCTTCAGATGGTTAGAGATCAACAAGATCTGCAAAGCCAGCTCAAAAAAAAGAAAACGAAAACTTCACCTGTAGGGAACTGTCATGCCTGATTTCCAAAACATTGATATTTACACTTCAGTGAGAGCTCATAACAGTTCAGAATTTGGATTTAACAAGATGATTATGTATTTAACGAACATTATCATACTAATTTATCAAGTAATGAATCTTGAATCCTTCATGAGTTGTCCTAGTACAGACATCTTTTTTCATGATTATGTAATGGATTGCGCTTTGGTTATCAAAATTTCCATTCTAAAAGAATTTTATGGAAATTATTCGGCTTTTCATGATCAAAAATATTTTTGTTGTTTAAGAGATTTAGGAGGTCTTGTGAACAGAGAACATTAAGCAACAGAATAATATATTTTAGGGTATATTATATATAATAATAACAAGTATTTGGGCTACAAGTGTTTAATCATACAACACATAAATAAAAAAGAGATATAACTAATACAAATTATATAAAATAAAATAAATAATAATAGTTAACAATAATAATGATTATGAATTATAATAAGATAACAGAAAATAAAAATGTAAACATTTCAAAAATAAAATTGCTCTTAAACACATTCATACCAATTAGAGAAATAGAATTAAACAGTAATGGTAGTCAGGTAAAATAATTTAGATGATGATTAATATATCATATTTTATTTTATTTGTATAATTTTTCACAACTTTTATTATTTAACACTGTATTAATAGTTGGAAAATTTATTAATGACAATTTGAAGCAATGGCTTAATTATTAATACAACTTAATGTGATTGTAAGGTCTAAGGATTTGCCATATTTACACAAAATATAAATAAATAAAGAATAATAATGTTATGGGCGATGTATGAAGGAAACTGGATTGAAAGTTTTACAGAATCAGAAGGGTAAAGTATTCCATTTAAATATTATACAAACAAGAAAATGTGGCGAAACCAACATTTGTTTATCCTCTGAAATTTTATCTTTATTGCAGAACTATTATTTTTATTGCAGCAATTAATATTGCTGGTATATTGTCTCTCAAAAAATGTTTGAAATAAAGCTTATTTTTTGAGAAGTTGTAGAACTTTAATCTCCCTAATAATTTCTTATGTAAAATATACATAACTATTCAATATAATAATATTTACAATATTAGTATATGGATTTTTGTTGAATGTCTCAAAATGTTTTCTGATTATAGAAAAAGGAGGACAGAAGCAATTTTAGTGGAAAATTTATTAATAATTTGAAAATATATGTATATTTTGGAAGTATAGAAAATAATGAAATAGAAATTTTGATATATGGAAATATAATACTTTTTCATATTAGTGAAACAAAATAATTAAAATGATCTAAGTATTTTTTTAGAATATTATATTTCAACTGGTTCATCAATTTTAAAAAACGTTTTAAGAATTTCCCATCTCTCCTAGAAACTTTCAAACCTTTTAATAAACAATTCTCGATTTTTTTTTATCTTTTGTAAGATAATCCTTTCATCAAATTGACATCCCAGTGAAAGCAAATACTTAAATTCCCTAGTGTTAACTATTAATATTATTCATTAATTAATAATATTAGATTATAGTTTTTTTGTAAGTCTTTATTTATTATTACAAATATCTCTGACATACCTAATAAATTTATCATGAGTACATCGTAAGCTCATATAAATTTGGTAATACGACTAAAAATTAGCTACCCATAAATAAAATAAGGAATAATAAGGAAACCTAACATTTAACTTTGTATAATACAAATTAAAATAAAGTATACAGTAAAATTGTGTCATAAAACTACCAAAATTCATAAAAATAAAAATTAACACCTAAATAAAAAAATGATTCTGAAAAATTGAATATGAATCTAAGTTTAAATTAATGATTCATTCAGACTTTAAAAATTTATAAAAATTACATGTATTCAAAGGTGGAACTGTTTTCAGAATATGAACATTGTGAAAGTTTATAATTTTTGTTTACAATCACTCAAATTATGATTAAAAATAAATAACAATTTTTGTAAAAAATTCTTTTTCACAACGAATCATCTAATGAATTTTTATAGAATTCAGTATACAGTTCTACAGAAAAAAATTATACCAACAATTATTTTTTCTTTCATCTGAAAATATTGCCATAAACATGAAAAATAAATTTGATGTATTAAAAATAAAAAAAATAATAGTAGTCGATAAATCTAATTCAAATGATGATTGACAGATCACACTTTATTTTGTAATTACGCTATTTTTTCTATTATTTAATTTAATTATTTTTTCAAATATATAAAAGATTAAAGTATCACTTTATCAGAACAATTTCATTATTTTACACTATTTTTAAAACTCAACAATTAATCAAAAAATGCAAGCTATGTTTTTTTATGGCAGAGCATCTTGTTATAATACCAGAATAATCTGTGAGGTGGGCTCAACTCTGGGGTTAGGAAACCCTCCTCGGTTTTAATCATTCATCTTCTAAAATTTGGGTACCTATCCCATCATTGGTTTGGGACCTGAAGCAGGGCATTTGAGTGCGTACACTAACCATGCCCTCCTCCATATCTAACTGTCAATCGAAAAAGTAATATTTCCTTAGCTGGTAGTGTACCCAAAAACCTGTGTGGCTTGTCCTATATTTTTAAAGATATATATCACAATTATACAATAGGATGTACTTTGATAGCTTATATTTCTATTCTAAAGTTTTGTAAATAAACTGAGTTTCTCATAACAGATTGGTAAAGTTTTATCTATAATAGTACAAGAATGAGAGGTATTTACAAATAAGGGACAATGATAATAAAAAATATTATTATGAAACTATAATCAAACATTAATAGCATAATTTACACCTTTATTAATAC